GTAATCACACCGCACCTAGTAGGTATATTCAGATCATGGTTGGTTTTGAGGCATACCCCCAAAAAATGGAGAGAGATAAAAGTGGTATTCATATCGAAATCTGGAAGGATGAATTACACTGCCCCAAAAACATACCGACCAATTATCTGACATCGTTTTCCATGAATATATTGGGAAGGTCATGCAAAAGGTACATAAAACAACACCACTACACCCAAATTAACATGCATACAACCCAGGCAGATCTACTGATTCAGTTGTTCATCTAGTGTCTAGCCGGATAGAAAGATTCCTGGACAATCAAGATGTTTTCATAGAACTATAGAAGGTGCTTTTGATAAAATCACCTTCCCCAGGATAATAAATAATAATAATTATAATAATAATAATAATAATAATACTCTCCCTAATTCACCCCCTTACGAATGAATTTTAACCCCAAAAGCTAAGCTTGTGCGAGGAAAGGGACGGCTATTATTATTATTTGCCGTGGCGCTCCAGGGCGACTTAAAGATGATTGATGGTGCCATTTGACTTACAGGTGAGGAAAACTCGGAAAATCTCACCCACCATCATCGATACGGTAATGTATGGCGATTTTTTATAATCTGCATGTCATATCAACAGAAATTGAATTTCTAATAATAGACACACATCAAATCCTATACCGAACCATACAATTTAATTAAAAATCCACATGATCTGGTCTAGGATTCGAAGCCGAGCAGTCTGTGACACATAAACTTGCTTATAAATGAATATAAGCGTGTTAGACCGCTACACCACCGACTCGATACATCTACTAACCAACAGGAATGTTCCACAGATGATTAATGACATGACAAGCTCTTAACGCAAGTAGTAAACTAAAGTGTAAAAGATGTGAATATGAGAGATTTGGTTGCGAGTCCACAAGAAATGGTGCTATCACATTTACCGTGGAACATGGTCCTCGACACCTTCATCAGCCACATCACTAATGACAGTTACTACACAATAGCCTATGCAGATTACCTGGTCATTCTGCAAATAGAAAATTTTGAGAATATACTCTGCGAAAGGTTGCAAGTAGCTCTCAAAATTATAGAACAGTGGTGCAAGGACCAGTTACTGTCTATCAATCCCAAGAAGACAGAAATGGTCTTTTTCACAAGCAAAAGGATAAAAACGGAATTAAAGCCTTCAGAACTTCTAATCACAAAACTAAACATTGCAACAGAGGTGAAGTACCTAGGTCTCACCTTTGACAGCAAGTTAACATGGAACTTACACTTAAAAAACAGAGGAGTCAAAAGAGTATTCATCGCTTATGAACAATGCCGACGAACCGTAGGGCGCACCTGGGGTTTCTCCCCTACAGTCGTCGCATGGACTTATACGGCCATCATAAGACCTATGGTAACATACGGTGCAGTTGTCTTGGTACCAAAAACCCAAAAATTTACAGCTATCCGCAAACTAGGACAAATTAAAATAACATCAACATAACAAGAGCCATGAAAAAGACACCGATCACAGCCATGGAAGTCATTCTAAATGTCACTCCCCTTGATATTTACATCAAGAAGATTACTGTAATAACAGTAACACATCTCCGCACGGTTGAAATCGAATCTGATGTAGGATGAGGCGAGACGTACGTTTTACAGGAGGCACTCGATACGCTCCCACTGCTTCAAGTGAACATGGACTCCATCTCACCGATATATATCTCCCATAAGCCATATAAAATTATATCAGAACAAATAGAAAAGGCGGAATCATATCTAGACCGACGGTTCTTAAACAAAACAAGGCTCAGGATGTGGAATGTACTCAAGATCCTTAAACCTAAACATTAAAAGGGTTGTGAGCAATAGTGCCAGTGTAGTTCAAATAGAGCTTACGGAAAGTCTCACAGCAGCAAAAGAAATCCCCAGAAACAATATTATTGAAAGAAAGATGCTCATCTATGCAGATCCATCAAGAATGTGGTCACCTTAAGATGGATCAAAGATCACGCCACATTGCTGATTCACTGGCCAAGAAAGCAACCAAATAAATACTTTTTCGACCTGATCCTTCTATTGCCCTGACAAAATCGGTAGTGACAGACCTAATTGAAGAACATTCCCTTGTGAAATTCAAGGAAAGATGGCATGAAACAAGAAACTGCAAAGTTGCTAGGGAGCTTTTAAGTTATTCTGACAATACTACAGCAAACAAATAAAGGGTGTCCCATCAAGAGCGCCGGATTTAAATTTGCCGCCATTTTGTTAATACGAGTTGCACTGTCAATTTTTTTTGACAGATGTCACCTACAGACCGCGCGATTTAAGAATATGGAGAAGTATTCAAATGAACAACGTTTAATTATTGTAAAAACACATTACAAAAATGGTGAAAGTTTTTGCGAAAACAGTTCGCCATTTACGTCAAATTTTCGGTCGTCATGATGCGCCAAATGAATCGACAGTGAGGCGTTTAATTACAAAATTTGAGACCAAATTTACGCTGATGGATCAGAAGACCATTGTACGTCGTCGTCCTTGTCGGTCACTCGAAAATATAGCCGCAGTAAGGGAATCTGTGACCGAGAATCCGGGAACTTCCATTCGGCATCGTGGTCTAGAATTAAACATTTCCAGAGGCACTATGCAACGAATTTTGGTAAAAGATCTGCACTTGCATGCGTACAAGGTTCAATTGGTGCAAGAAATCAAGCCAAGAGACCATGCGCAACGCCGTGGATTTGCTGATTGGGTGTTGGAGCATCATCAAATTAATGCGGATTTTTCGAAGAAAATAATGTTTTCAGATGAGGCACATTTTCAACTCGACGGATATGTAAATAAACAAAACTGTCGGATTTGGGGTGCTGAAAATCCTCGTGTGATACTTGAACAACCAATGCATCCACCACGAGTAACTGTTTGGTGCGCATTTTGGGCTGGCGGAGTGATTGGGCCGTATTTCTTTGAGAATGCGGCTGGAAATGCGCTAACTGTTAATGGTGAGCGATATCGCGAGATGTTAACGGATTTTTTGTGGACCGAATTGGATGAAATTAATGTGGAGGACATGTTTTTTCAACAAGACGGTGCGACCTGCCACACAGCTCGTGAAACAATGGTGTTACTGCAGACTAAGTTTCCAGGCCGTGTCATTTCTCGTTTTGGCAATCACCATTGGCCACCAAGATCATGCGATCTAACGCCGATGGACTTTTTTCTCTGGGGCTATGTGAAGCAAAAGGTGTATGCAAATAAGCCTGAAACAGTGGAACATCTTAAAGAGGAAATACGGCACGTTATTGGTGAAATACAGCCTCATTTATGCGAAAACGTGATTCAAAATTTCACCAAAAGAATAACTCTGTGCCAGAGGTTTCGTGGTGGCCATTTGCCTGATGTTGTATTTCACGTTTAATCGTAACCATTTTTCTTTATGTTAAAATAAAAATGTTGACTTAATTCAAAACATAAATGTGTTTTTCCTTCAAATTAAATCCGGCGCTCTTGTTGGGACACCCTTTACTTGACAGAATCTGCGCTTGGTCACAGCTATTCTGACTGGTCATTGCCAAGTACGGAAGATTCTCCATATCATGGGGTTGTCAGAATCCGCACTCTGCAGGGGGTGAGAAGAAGAAGATGAGACCATTGATCATATCCTCTACGGTTGCTCGACGACCTTATTTATTAGATGGTTTGTGTTCGGCGAGTATCGGCTAACACCTGTTGATATAAGAGAAGCACCTCTTGGCGACATTTTCAACTACATTAAATCTGTAGGCTGGCTCATGAGTTAGAGGTGCCTATCATCTTAGGGGGATGCAAAATGGACCTAGTGAGGTCCATGTGCCGTGGGGTAACCCACCCTCTACACGTTACAGAGATCTCTGAACATTAATTTTTGAAGTGACCTACCTTGCTAAATAGTCTTTGTTATTTTCTTTAAATATTTTTTTTATTTATTATTTGAATTAAAAGTTATTTATGTAAGCCACTTTTTAAAAATAACTACTTGGTTCTCCCATATTTCGGCCCCCGAGAGTCACAGCTGTGACAATTGTCACCTGTTGTTGCTAATATGACGTTCTCTTGCCGGTGTAAGTCAAATTACTCCAGGGTAGCTATTCTTGAATTCGAAGGAATAGAAAATAGGTTTTTCCTCTTTATCTGCCACGCGCAAAATTTTTATTCTTCTCTTCTGTTTCCCTTAAAATGTCGACTCCCTAAGATTCCAGAATAGATATCTAAGTGTGACTCGAGTGAGAGTGAGGAGACTTTAAGAAGAATTGAAGGACATTAGATGGGATGAGAGGTTATGTGCACCGACGAGAGTAGGAATTTGATTGATTTCAAATTTACGAATGCGGATATTAAAGCGTATGTGCCTTGATAGCTCAGTTAATAAGAGTATGGACGGCTAAAATCCGAGGTTTCAAGGGTCCAAGACTTTTGGCTGATGCCAGGGCCAACAAGAGGGGAGGGACTAATTTCCGGGGCCCGGACTCAAGTGGGGCACAGGCAGCGGCATCAGGGGGGCTCGGCAGCTTTAGATAAGGACGTTTTTTAGATGTTCGTTACAAGAGGACTTTTGTCACTTCTAGAAGTTTTTGCCTGATGACCTTTTTTTTAGAAAATTTACTGAATAGGACGAAAAGTTTTTTAGAAATGTGATATTGAATAGGCTTAAATTTTTTATAAAATTTAGCGGGGTCCGACCTGGAAAATTATCCCGGGGCCCGACCTGATATACTCATTTTTCAATTTTTCATGGTTTGTTTTCACTTTGGCGATATGAGGGTGTATTTTTCGTAGGGGAATTGGGGATTATTCATTTTCATATTTCCAAAATTGTATAATTGTTCTATCTGGTCCCATCGAATTTTTTTTGGCTACTTGAAAGAAAGATATATTAAAAAATTTCCTCTATTTTTCAGAAACAATAATTAAAATAGCTGATCAAGGTTTAAGTAATGCATTATAAGTGGCTACTTTTAATATCAATAAATATTTTAATAAAGTCATGTCATCTCTTAAAATTATGTGTATATATATAGAGTAATACTCGGGATAGATTAATTCATTCCTAGGTAAATTGTCCAAAGAAAGAATTATTTCATTTCGATTAGTGTACAGTTTATTGAAATAAATAAGGTGAGTAATATGTGGATCGAGCATAATTATTGATATCTTATATTCCAAATTTTTTTGCATATTTTAAACTATTATTTTAGTATGCTACAGTATGTCACAGTACTGTCTTTCTAACAGAAATCCTTCCTATTTCAAGGATAAAACATAAGGAACCTTTTTTGTTTTATTATTGGATTTCAAAATTGAAACACAATGATAAAAATACTTATTTTTAAATTTCAAGTATCATAAATCATTGATTTCTCGACTTCGGTCACCGTATACATGTACAGTTTTTAGTCACCTTTAAATGACATTATTTTTGGGGGTAGTGCTGAAGTTACTAATGGTACTTTTAGCCAAATGGTGAAATCAATTTGGTCGCGTGGGATTGTTGAAGACTGTACATTCGGCTGAATCTGAAGATGTACAGTATGTCTCAAAATAATTTGAAGTGCTGACTGTTTATTTTAAAACAAACACTTTTATTGAAATAGGTATAAAAAATGGAATAATGTTTAATAGATTTTGGTATATGAAATTTAAAAACAAATATTTTGCAAATAAAATGGATGCTACATTGAAAAATTATTTTCTAAGAATGTACTCTGCAAATTGATATTTGCTGATTTACTGACTAAAAAATTACATAGATATTTGTTTTAGAAACTTAATTTTGTACGTTCAACCTAAAAATTCACAAACAAACTATAGTAAAAAATGACTCAAATACCAACAAAGTTTGAAAACCATGAATAAATGACAACCAAATGTTTAAGTATAATAATAATAAGTTTATAATAGCTATATTAGCTTTGTGAAGCTGGCCCCCCGAAATTCGAAAATTTTAGTTTTAAAAGCGGCATACGCTTGACCATCTATTGACCATGTTTGACCACCCACTAAATTTTTTTGACCACCCTCAGAAACCTAAATATTTAAAAAAATAATAATGACCGAATGCTTGCTGGCCCCCCGAAGTTATTATTTTTTAAAACTGACTGCACCATAGGATTAACCAATTTTTGACCATGTTTGACCATTTCTTAGATTTTTTTAACACCCCTTAAAATAATTTAAAGGGGTAAATTATAGAAAAACAAGAGTTCTGGGATGCAGTCCAACTTTTAAAGATATGTCAATGGTCAGAAAGTCACAATAGGATCCACAAACGTTTAAAATGATGTATGGCCGTTTGATCACTCCCTAAAATAACTTGAAAGACACCAAAGGGGTTAAAAATTCAAAGAAAATATTTCCCAATCCCATTTATAGTTATAAAAAATAGTCAATCGACATAAGGACATAATAAATATCCTAAATATCCTAAACTTCCTAAAATAGTTTTAATGTTCCCAAGTAGGGTTAAAATTCGAAAACTAACATTTGGAAATCGAATTTCGGCTTGTAAAAAATGGTCAAACGACATAAGTTTACAATAAAAACCTACAACAATATAGAATTGTGTTTTGACGTTTCACTACCCCCTAAAATAATTTTAATGTTTCTAAATAGTTTGAAAATTCAAAAAATAAAATTCGAAAAATAAAAGTTGAAAATTAAATTTCGGCTTGAAAAAAATGGTCAAACGACATAAGCTTAAAATTAAAATCTATTATGATTTAGAATTGTGTTTTGACGTTTGACCATTCCCTAAAATAATTTTATTGTTTCTACGTATGTATTGTGAAAATCCGAAAATTAAAATTTGGAAATCGAATTTCTTCTTGGAAAAAATGGTTAAACGACATCAGTTTACAATAAAGATCTATAAACATTAAGAATTGTGTTTTGACGTTTGACCACCCCCTAAAATAATTTAAATGATTTAAAGCATTGTGAAAATTCAAAAAATAAAATTCGAAAATCGAATTTCGGCGTAGAAAGAAAGTTCGAACAACATAAGTTTACAATAAAGATCCATAACGATTTAGAATTGTTTTGACGTTTGACCACCCCCTAAAATAATTCTAATGTTCGCAAATAATGTGAAAATTCTAAAAAATTCACAATAAAATTATTTTAGAAGGTGGTCAAACGTCAAAACACAATAATTCTAAATCGTAATAGCTCTTAATTTTAAACTTATGTCGTTTGTCCATTTTTTCCAAGTAAAAATTCGTTTTCCAAATATTATTTTTCGAATTTTCACTCTGCTTAGAAACACTAAAATTATTTTAGGGGGTGGTCAAACGTCAAAACATAATTTTAAACCATTATGGAACCTTATTGTGTATTAATGTCGTTTGATTATTTTTCCAAGCCGAAATTCGATTTCCAAATTTTATTTTTTGAATTTTCACAATACTTAGAAACATTAAAATTATTTTAGGGGGTAGTCAAACGTAAAAACACAATTCTTAATCGTTATAGATCTTAATTTTTAACTTATGTCGTTTGACCATATTTTCCAAGCCGAAATTCGATTTCCGAATTTTATTTTTTGAATTTTCAAACTACTTAGAAACATTAAAATTATTTTAGGGAGTGGTCAAACGTCAAAACACAATTCTAAATCGTTATAGATTTTTATTATAAACTTATGTCGTTTGACCATTTTTTACAAGCCGAAATTCGATTTCCAAATGTTAGTTTTCGAATTTTAACCCTACTTGGCAACATTAAAACTATTTTAGGGAGTGGCCAAACGTCAAAACATAAATTCAAACCTTTATGGATATTTATTATGTCCTTATGTCGATTGACTATTTTTTTATACTAGAAATTGGATTGAGAAATATTTTCTTTGAATTTTTAACCCCTCTGGGGTCTTTCAAGTTATTTTAGGGAGTCATCAAACGGCGATACATCATTTTAAACGTTTTTGGATCCTATTGTGTTTTTCTGACCATTGATCTATCTTTCAAAGTTGAAATGCATCACAGAACTCTTGTTTTTCTATAATTTACTCCCTTTAAATTATTTTAAGGGGTGTTATAAAAAATCTAAAGGATGGTCAAACATGGTCAAAAATTTGTTAATCCTATGGTGCAGTCAGTTTTAAAAAATATTAACTTCGGGGGGCCAGCGGGCACGGGGTCATTAATATATTTTTTAAAATATTTAGGTTACTGAGGGTGGTCAAAAAAAGTTAGTGAGTGGTCAAACACGGCCAATAGGTGGTCAAACGTATGCTGCTATTAAAACTAAAATTTTCGAATTTCGGGGGCCAGCTTCACAGAGCTGTCTGTGTTTACCAAATTCATTAGTTGGAAAAATACAATATAAATCTCTATTAAGTATTTTTTTTTTCATTTATTTAAAATACCTTAAAAAATTAATTGAGATTTAGGTAGATATTCCAAACTAATATTGTAAAAGAAAATAAATACAAAAATTGTCACGTGACCTCCCACTACCTTAATAAATTAATATTAGGCAACTTTCTAGTGTAAAACTGTTTTGAGAGCAAATTGGACCTTGCCCGAAAAGCAAAAATCTTGTGGGGATTTTCTAATATAAAGTTGTATTTATATGCGCGCAACTGGGAATACTTCGCGATGTTATGTGTCTCGAGAACATTGAGAGCTTTAAATTTGTACAAAGATGAAACAGTAGTCTACAGAGACATTAAAAAAAAGGTTGGAAACCAACGTACTAGATTTTTATTAAAACAAAAAGCAGTAAATTTTCATAGATTTAATACAGAATAGCACGTAAATGGTTTTTGAAGTACCTATTAAAAATTAACAATCGCTTTTCTAAGTTTTATTATTATTAATATTTCCTGAAAATTTTACAAAAATCGGACTAAAAATAAAGGCTTAGACGAAATTATAAATTTTCAAGATGTTTGGATTGCTCTTAAGTTAAAATAGAAACAAAAAAGAAGTAATCTAAATTTGTATTACAAGTGAATATGTAACTCCCTAGAAATTTTACTGGTTACAACACTATGCTTTACTGTAGTACAGAGAAAAAATATTCATATTTATAAAAAATATATATTTTTTTAATAAAACATTACTATTTATTCGTTCTACAGAAATTACAGTGGTACCCTGGTACCCATCGTTTGTACACAAAATATCAAAAAATATTTAGTTTTCGTAATGAGCTTTCTTTGTGAAACGATGTAGCCCTGTTGAGAACTGCCACTGCTATTGGTTGAGTGAGGAATGCACCGTTGCCAATTCCTACTCTCATCTTTCGCAAAAACTGTCACTTGGTACTGTTTTCCAAGAATTTAAGTAATACCAATATGTATACAGGGTTTCAGAAAAAAATAAAAACACGACATTAACAGCCTAACCGTGGCTCTTCCGGAGTCTTCGACATCATATCATTTAATAATTAATAAAAAACAAAAATTGTTTAATCATAAATTACTGTCAAATGTATATCCTTTAAATTGTCATAATATTAACCGAAATTTTGTATCTTTTACAATTTAATTTTTATATTTAAATCACTTAATTTATTTTTAACTACATTTCTTACATCATATCGTCGTCAATATCACGAAGTGACGTAACTCGATTTTCACAACTTTACAAGAGGGCGTTTTAAAGTTTTTTTTATAAAGTTACGTCTCTTCGTAAAATTATCAGATACACACGGTTAGATACGTGCTATTTTAATAAATTTAATGACTTGAGATACGCAATTTCGTGAAATTGTAGAACATACTTTTTTACATTACGTCACTTCGTGATATTGACGACGATATGTCATTTGTAGAAATCGTAAATTCCATTATTTTCTCTAAGTACCACTTACCGCTGCATGCGAACAGCTTAAAAAATTAATTATTGCTTTCAACCCCGCTTGTTGATGATAACCCAATCCGCTAATCTCAATTCGCTCTCTGTCTACTCTTTTTGTACTTGAGACAGGCGGAGTAGCGTTAGTTTTATTAAATTTAAATTTTCTATTATTTTGGCTAATTCTTTCAATTTAAAATATCTTTTTTAAATAGTATTTTTTTGGTTTGTATAGTAAGCAATGTTTATATTTTTATTGAGCGTCTCCTGTAAGGAAAAGTTCTATTTAGATTTTGATAAGCAAATTTTGATCACTGACAATATCTTTTTTGTTTGTTTTGGAATTCCAATTTTTAATGTATATGCAAATAATTGTTTATATTCAACTAAAAACCTCTTTATTTTTAGGATTTTTCAAAATGAAGATAGCCTTTTGCCTTACTTTTTTGTTGTCGGCTGCCTTAGCTGCCAACATTAAAATAACTCCTACTGTGGACAGTAAAGATATAGAAATTCCTGAATCGTTTGATGCACGTACCAACTGGCCAGAATGTTCTAAACTTATTAGTGAAATTGCTGACTGCGGTGCTTGTGATACTGAGTGGGTAAGTAGCTATACATATACATTATTAAATTTGCAATTGTAAATATATGACTGAACTGATGAGTTCTTTTTGAATAGGCCAATTTAAAGTATGTTATGTTGGGTATGGGGTATTATTGCACCGTGTTCCTAAAATAGTATCTATGTCTAAAACGAGTCGTTATAGGAAGGTTATTAACAACCCTTCTAACGCTATCTTCTCAAGAAAATGTAGAATTTTGAAGTGGCTTCGAGTAAGGTAGATTGCCTTTTTCTATTTGGTATGCCCTTGGAGTCTGGATTGTTACACATTTAGTCAGAATGTGACTGCAGGTTTCGTCCTCCTTTTAACAAAATCTGCACTCAGTATCTTCTATTACTCCTAGTTTACTTTGAGTCAGCAATGCCCGGTAAGGATCACTGTTATAATGGGCAACCTATTCTTGCTTAAGCAGATACAAGTTTCCAATCTTTTCTGGTTGTATTTCCAGTTCCCAGTTCTTTTTTAATCTCTCCTATACTGTTGATACAGCTGAATGGCTCAGGTCCCGCAAAGGATGTTTGAGCCCTTCTCTCTGTAACCTCATTACCCTTTAACCCGTTGTGTCGTTATGTACTGAGGTGGCCTAGCTCATTCAGTTTTTATAGGCATTAGTAGACCATTTGTGAGTTAAATACATTAGGCTTTGATGGCTGCTTGGCTATCGGATATGACAATAATTGCGATATACTTCTCAATTGGCTGAATTCCCGCTTAGAAGATGCTTGGGTACCTACCCAAACTTTCAGAGTGCGCCTGGTTCTAGGCCTATTCTTATGGTTTTGGAACCATCCATATACCACCGAATTGCCAGTCTTCAGGTTGCAAGCACCATGGATTCTTGGATCAATTCTGTCTTGCAGCTCAGCTCTGTTATTTTGAAGTTTTTAACAAAACCAGCTGAAGATAAGGACCGAAATATTTTTTTGATTCAGAAGATCCACCACACAGGATTAGGCCATAGCTTATCAAACTATAAAAATTAATGCTGTATCAACTGTTGTTACTTGAATAAGCTCTTTAATTTAAAGGACGACTTCATTGATTTTCTTGACTAGGTAGTCAATATGTGTGTGACAATTTGAATCCTAAAAGTTTAATATGTTGAGCCTCATTAGTATTTGGCTTAAAAATAATATTTTCAGTTTTCTCGTTATGCAATTTAAGAGAAGTTGATTGGACTAAACATTATCAAAATTTATTATATTGTATCGTTTGCAATACCTCCTTTAAATCAATGGTAGCTGCCGCTCGCAAACATGATATAGAAGATACCATCTGCTAGTGAATAGAAGACATGTTATGCGGACGGCAAGTACAGACATAAATGGTCAGTGAAACCATGTAGGTGAATATCCACAGGGGATGCCCACAGGGTGCAGTCCTTTCTCCTCTATTGTGGAACCTAGTGGCAGATGAACTGCTGGAAACACTAAACAATTAAGGGCTGTACGCCAAAGGATATGTTGATGATATAGTCATCCTTATCCGAGGGAAACACCAAACCATAGTCTTTGAACTCATACAAAGAGCTCTTAGGCTGACAGAAATATGGTGCGTTAGGGAAAATCTCTTGTAAATCCTGACAAGGCACAACTTATAACCTTTACTCGGAAAACAAGGTTGGAGGTTTTAGAAACTCCGACTCTGTTTGGAGGAAGGCTAAACAAAACGAACCAAGTAAAATATCTGGGTCTGATCCTAGATAGCAAACTTACTTGGAACTAACATTTGCAAAAAGTCACCAACAAATGTAAACTGTATCTCATAGTAGGGAGACATGCATTTCGAAAAACATGGGGATTAAAACTAAAAATGATCCAACTTTTTCTTAAACTGACAGTTTCAAATTTTAGATTTTTTTATTACGCAATTTGTTCGATACATACATTAAATGAGTCAAAATTAATATTATTGAATCAACTACATACTTTAAGTGTTTAAGCCAAATATATCCCTACTATAAGAATTTTTTAATTTTCGAATCATTATTGTGGACATGTGGTATTATCCATGACAGTAAATTTAACCTTTTTACAGGCTGTAGCGGTAGCTTCCGCTGCTAGCGATAGACGATGCATTGCTTCCGGTGGTTCCCTACAAGTACCTGTTTCTGCAGCAAATCTGATGTCCTGCTGTACGCAATGCGGTGGTGATATGAAAAAAGCATGGAACTATTGGGCTAAGAATGGTATAGTCACGGGAGGCAGATATCAGAGTGATTTGGTAAGTATTTATACTCAAATACTTTACAAATATAGAAGTACTTTATTGTTGTAGAAACTAGATTTATGGCAATTTCTAAAAGAAAATATTGTGTTAGTCAATATTTTATAAAAATACCTAATAGATTGAGAGCCAACGGTCAATCCCAGTAAAGTGTCGAACACAAAGATGAAAACTTGTAGATATATAACTTAATAATAGCTGAATAAGGAAATAATGATCTAACAGGGACACCGCGGTTGCGACATCTACATTTAATTTTTTGAAAATATCAAAAAAATTGTTAAAATTAACATTCTTTTACTTCAAGAAATATTCTTTGCATTATTTTATTCACGATATTATAACTGCCAGGTAATTATGGGGGTTGCTAGTGCCACCAGGCTGAGTATGCAGGGTGGGCCACTTAAAAATTTCTCCCCCTCTTATTTCGTTAAGATATCAGATTTATTTTTTGTTTATAAATTTGGAGTAAGAACTTTATTATAATTGATTCAATTATTGTTACGCTATGACGTACTTGGGGAGGAATTTTTTAAGTGATCTGCCTTGTATACTCACCTGGCGAGTTAATAAAATAATTAGTATCCCTGCTATGTCATTATTTCCTTATTTAACTGGTATAAAATTATAAATCAATTTTTGAGACTTATGTTCAATACTTTTCTAGTATTGCAAGCGGTCTTAGCGGCCTTAGATTATATATAATATTTTTTACTATTTCAGGGATGCATACCTTATACGGCTAGTATGTGTGACCATTTTTACCAAGTACGTGAAACAGAGTGTTTTAATCAATTTTGCATTCAACCAGAGTGTACAGGTACGTGTGCTACCAAAAGTGGCTTAAACTATACCAATGAACTGACCTATGGTGAATCTAGGGCTGAAACATTTGAAACAGTCGAGGATATACAGAGAGAAATTTTACAAAATGGACCTGTTACGGCTTCAATCGAGAAGTTTGTTGATTTTCCGTTTTATCGTGAAGGTAAATTTTATTAAAAATTATCAGTTTTTTATTAATTTTGTAATCGTTACTGAATTCATTGTAATATTTACGAATGATTAAAGGTATATATCCAACAAATCTGAGAGAATTTTGGACCGGTGAGTTTCACAAGAAAACCAATCAAAAGAAACAATAGACATTAAATATGATTAAAGTTTTGCTTTAATACCACAAACATGTCCATATTTTTTCAGAGCTGTATAGATAATATCATATACATCAGTAAGAAATATTACAACATTTTTAGTAACATACGTTAACCTTTGTTCATTATCATTTTCTTTAAAGATGATAAATATATGTCGAGTTTCTAATGCATCTGCCAAAAGATTGGTTCTGCAAATATCACATTCGACATTTTTTAGTTTTTTTACAATAAACCCAGTAACATAAGTTGTGGCTTGGGAATCAAATTCATTGTCAAAAATAATTTGCGTGTTTTATCAATATTTAAAGTAAACATTTCATTGTACTTATGCACTTTTAAAGGTTTCGGTTCCTGACTAACTAAAAATATCTCTAAATTATTTAACAATGCTGCTGTGTATGTGCTTCAGCCTCAACATGTTCTAAAATCTGACTCTCGGGTTAAATATAGTTCGGTATAGTTGAACTGGGTGTAATATTGTCTAATAAAATTGATACAGCATTTACCATTAGTCGTTTACGTTTTATAGCAATTCTGCTAAAAGACTCTGGCAAAAAATGATCTTCACAAAAAAAGCGAATTTTATTAAAAAGTTAAATTTAAATTTTTAAACCAGTTCTCTTGAATTTTAACATCAGAAGGAAAATGAAAAAAGGTTTTTTTTTTAATAACCACCTTGCTGAATATTAGAATACTTATTTAAACAATTAGGAACTGAACAAGAATACTTTGCTTTAACCTTCGATGCTTTACCCGGGTCAGACATGTTTTGATATTGTTACAAATATATTAAAGAAAGAAATGAAAATAGATTAAAAATGAAATTACCTATATTTCGTTAACGCTAAGAAAACAATGATAAAGTCTTTAAACAAATTTAACACCTAATATTAAATTATATTGGTAATACTTACTAATTACATCAAATCATCACTTATAAATCTTCTTAACCTAAAAATAACTTACCTACCTACTTTTATTTATTTATATTATTGTAATTTGCCCATTTCACCTTCCGCCTGCCATTCCGTTTTTCATTTTTACAATGTTGTCAAACCTCTCTTTAAAATATCCGATCAACAGTATGCAATAGTATGCCATTGTATGGATGGTATCGAGCTTGACGAAAAACAAAATGAGGCATTTAAAATAATTCTAATCCCATAAAAGTATATGGAAACTGGCAACATCGTTTTCATCTTATTGCGATGGTGGCTCGAAATAAGTATGTTAAGGAACTAAACGTGTTACCAGTGCCGTGTATTTAAACGATTTATCTTACATAAATTATCTATGGATCGCTATTGACTGTTTGTTTTTATTCCCTTTCTTAATGAACCCCCCATAGTTCTCAAAAACCCCTCCCATGAAAAATGGCTGGCTACGTCACTGTCGGTATAATTGTAAAGAATGTCATGAGCACAAATAAAAGACAAAGTTCATACGGAATATTAAAACAATGTTTGTTTCAAATTTAAATATAATTAATTTTATTGGTTTGGAATGTTTTCCCAAAATTTATATTTTAACGTGTCTTGGATGGTTTTCTGATAATTTGGTTTATTAACTTGATAGTCAGGTCATAATCAAATAAATGTTCGCATAACTAAATAATATTATGTATACTATTTCTAGGTATCTACTATCATGCTAGTGGCAAATCGATAGGTGGACATTCATTAAGACTTCTTGGATGGGGTACCGAAAACAACGAAGCTTATTGGATCGCTGCTAACGCTTGGAACGAAGATTGGGGCGAGAAGGGTATAATTAGAATCAGAAGAGGTGTTAATGAATGTAACATCGAAAGCGGGGTATATGCAGCAAAACCTAAACTTTAAACAATTATTACGTTTCAATAAAGTTGTATTGACTTCTTAATATTTTTGTTTTCATTTATTTTTACCTTCCTGTATTTAATCCAGAAAGGTTTGCCTCCTGTGGAGTTGAGATTCCGGGTTTTTGGTTACTAATTTCCATATTTACGTCCACCCTTTTCCATCTCACGTTAATGGTTTCGCTTCTTGTCAGTTTACATCAGCAATTGATGGGAAAAAACACTCAAAGTTTTTATTAATATATATCTACATTCATTGTCAATTAATAAATACATTTTTTCCAATTTAGACTCATAAAGTGACCTTTTTAGTAATCGCAACAAGTGTCAAAAGTTGAACATTATGAAACTGATTATGAGAAAACTCATTATGTTATCAATTGCTAAAAGAAAACAAACTCGTTTATGTTACGGGACCTCGCTCTTCTTGTCCCGCAAATATTCACTCGTTATTTAGATTATATATGTTTTTAATTAACTTGTAATATAACCCATTGAAATAATGAGAGATAACATTTCTCTCTAATTAAGCATGATGAACGAAAATAACAAAATGGCGATAAAAATGGAGGCTTGATTATGAGTGACCGACAACATAAAGAGCAGCTTAAAAATTAATTAGTGCTCTCAACACCGCTTATTGATGATAACCCTTAAGCCTAAGCTTAATGCTAATCTCAATTCGCACACTGTCTACCCTTTTTGTATTTGGAATAGACGGAATAGCGTTATTTTTATTAAATTTATGTTTTCAACACCTCTTGTATGAGGTTTTCAACTTCCTTGTGAGATTTTACAATTTGCAATTTTTTAAATAGTGTTAAAACAACGAAATATGAATTTTTTTGAAAGCAACAAGTTGCTAAGCCAAAATCAATTCGGTTACAGGGAAAACAAATCAACCAAAAAACGCAATATGTGATATCTATGAAGCTGTTACGGTTGGTTTTGAGGATCGTTCACATAGTACTGCCAGATTTTATGATCTTACGAGAGAGTTCGATACGATTCAACATGACATTTTATTATTAAAATTAGAGAGATATGGAGTTACAGCTTATTACCTCTTATTTGCAAAAAAGAACTCAATATGTTCAAATTGATAGGCAAACTTCGGGCAAGAATTCAGTACTGTATGGAATTCCACAGGGTTCTGTTCTCGGACCCTTACTTTTTATCATTTACTTCAATGATTTGTAAATTAATCTAAGTAATATCATACAGGTGTTTATGCTGATGATTCAACATATTATATTGCTACAGATAAAAATAAATCTGATACAATAGGAAGGCTAAATGAAGCAGAAGTTATATCAAATAATTGGTTTGGTAGCAATGGTCTTACATTAAACGAAACAAAAACTCAGCAAATGTTATTTTGTATCATTGCTAAAAGTGAGGAACAGGTTAAACTTTTAGGAATATATGTAGACCAGAAACTAGATTTTAAATGTCACATTCAAAGTTTACTAGGTCGTTTTGCAAAAGCTACTTATGCAATTAGACAGCTAAAATTTCAATTAGACATTGTACATTTAAAAATGGTCTACTTTTCATTGTTTTATAGCATTATGACGTATGGGGTTATACTTTGGGGAAATACAAGCAACCAACTTAGGGTATTTATTGCACAAAAAAAAGTAGTACGTATCATGACATTGAGTAGCTACAATAGTCATTACCAACCTATTTTTAAACAGTGGGTATTTTACCACTACCATGTTGTTTTATTTTAGAGTGTCTTTTATAGATGAAAAAACAATTTGGTAATAATAATGTAATAAAATAGAGCTCTAAACATTCTTATTGCACCAGAGGAAATTATGATATATCTTTACCTAATTACAGATTAACCAAACTTCATGATTCTTATAGATATATCAGCATTAAACTGTACAATTCCTTACCTCAAGCTTATAAAAACTCATCTTCTAATTTATTTAAAATAAGAATTCGCAAATTTTTGTCGAGTCACTGCTTTTATTCAATTGACGAATTCTTATCACATGTGTCCATTTGTGCATGTGAGTATTGTGTAAACCTTTTTGGTGAATATACCTTTTTAATTTTTATCTTTTAAGTATGTTTTAATATGTTATGTGTATGTGTATCTATATATTTTTTTGTCTATTGTTAGAGTCAGCGAATTAGTATATCGCCGCCACTGGGGTCGACGGTACCACGTCTACCCTGTTAGAGTCAGCGAATTTGGATATCGCCGCCACTAAGGTCGGTGGTAACACGCCTGCCCGTTGCAGTGTCCAGGACCAGGAGAGAGCGGAGACTTGACTTTCGACCAGCCGAACGCTATGAAGTGATAGGCAATATACCGTTAAAAGCATTCTTTATTTTGTTCCGTAATTTTCATTTCATTTCATTTCAAACATTTTTTACGAGATATTTAATAAAACGTTATAAAACCATGTTAACACGTGTTTTATGAAGTGGCTGTACAGGGTGTTATAGTATACAGGGTGATAAATAATTTTAAAACAATAATTTTGAAGTTAATTCTTTTAACTTCTAACACTATATTTTTCTGTATTTTCTGTATCTACACCTATATATCTTTTTTATACTTTTAATATTGACACATGTAAAATATTTATTTATTAGTTATCTCGGTCACCTTTAGTCGATAAAGTCCAACCAAATTTAAAAACAAGATCACTGATCCTATAGTTGGGATCAAATCCTAAGATTTTTTAAATTTCATTCTTTAATTATTTTTATTTTTGTTGATCAAACCCATTGATTTTATTTAATGGTAAAGCACCTAGTCAATTAGTTTATGCTGATATCTAATGTTACATTATTACAGATGACTGTTGTACTCTTCTAATTACTTTATACCTGAAGATGACCTCATAGGTCGAAAGCGCTTGCAACCTACAGACTTTGAGTGTTTTCTTTGAGATATGGATAATATTTGGAAGAAAGATTAGTTTTTTATTGGCAACTTACTTGTGAAGTGGAAAAGCTTGAGAGAAAAATATCTTTTTCTTTTACATCTAATTCTATTTAAATTGTTATAGATCAAAGAATAAGAATAAAAAATATATAAAACGTATTGATAAAGATTAAATATAATATATGATTCGATGCAAGAAAATAATTTCTATATCATATAAGTGCACAGAAATTGTAAAAAAAAAACATAAGTTCAAATAAAATACAATAAAACAACCCCCACGCCCATGACACAAATAACAAATATATTTTATGGCCCAATTCAATACAACAAAAAAATATTTGAATACTCGGTAATTTAGTTAAATACAGAAAAATATATATATTAAAATATATTTATCAAATTTCTGTAAAAATCTATAAAAAATCAATTTTATTATATAATTACTATTATATTTAAATTATGTCATCAAAATATCTTTCATTTAATCAAATTCAAAAATAATTACCGGAACATGATAAGCTCCCCTTTGTTAATAAATTAGGTATGAGACATCCTTTTAAAAAAATTTGACTCTCGCAAAAATATTGTTAAAAGTGTAAAATCTGATTTTTATGCTAATGTGTAAAACGAGTCGCGGTATAATGTATTTTCTTGCATCCTTTTTGCCATTTCAAATGTTGAACCGACTTGTAACAATTAAAAAAACAGCCAAGTATTAATTTCATTCAAAAGAAAATTAATACGAGTAGGTAGTCTACTCTTAGGCATCAAATCCTTTTAATTTTAATTTAAATTACAAAAATTATAACACCACTTACTTCAATACTAATTTACAGCACTATTATTTCACACACTGCTTTATTACTTTGCTTATATCGCCTTAGTCGCATCGCATTGGATCAGTTTCCAAGACAGAACTGCCTCTCCGTGCTTGACGGCTCCCTTATATATTCCGCAGACGAAACATCAAGAATAACCCATCTCGTTCTATGCTTATTGAATATTCCCGAAATGCAGTTCGAGCACATCCCCGAAGTTGAGTTGCTTATGTAGTTGGCGTAGCACGTAGTTTCGCCGCTTCCTAATGGACGTCGCTGCGCCGCTATTTAAGTATCGTCGTGCGAATACCAAGCGAGCATAAAGTCATACATAATAAAAATAACATTAGGTAGAGAATTTTGTTTGTAGTGATTAACTATTATGTTGTTTGTGTATAACTGTATATAGAGCATTCAATATAAAAACCGATGCACGTCAGAGATGACGTCAGTGACAGTCATTGGTACCACACACACTAATAAAAATAGTTAAATTTTATTTTGCAAATAAATGAATAAATTTAGACGCATGCAGTTAATTTTTATAAAATTGCATATTAAAAATGTATTTTTTATCAGATCACAGTAGTAAATGTAATGTAGGCAGATTATTAACGGAATACTTTCTTGTAAATTTCATAATAAAAGTTGGCATCAAATATGTCAGCTTTCAATTTTAATACATTGTTGTCAATTGTTATTTGTTTTGTATTATTTTGCATCGATCGATTTCTTTTCAACAAATTATTTGTATTTTAGATTAAATTATTAACAAACTGTTCTTTTCAGAATAAATTTATTAGGAATTTAATAGTGCTGTTTATTGTGTATTTTTTCGTTGAAAAATGCCAAAACAATTAAATAGTCGCTGCAAGGAACTAGTGGCTAGTTAAATTTATTTAACTCAAAAATAATTTTTTAAAATTAATTCTAAAACAAACGTACTTTACTGATATGTTGAGGATGACCTATATAAATTAGGTTTATTTACCTATTTTTTGTTTTTGTCAGATGATAAGAAAACTAGTCTTGTAAGAAATAACCATGTTGCCAAGATTTTCGAATTAATTTCTATTTCCGAAGACTGGTTTTTACTACCCTCGTTATCAAAAAACTAGAATATTTGATAAATCATTGTTTTTAAACTATACATTTTTGAAACTATAGATTATTAAAATTTTAGTTGATTTACGAATCTGGCTAACACGAGCGCGTCATTTCCAAGTTGGTAAAAAGTGTTGTTACGATTACTTTTAAATATTTTTTTACGATGCCACTATTTACGAATATTGAACTAACGGATATAGTGCTGGT